TCGCGGAATATCTTCTCTTACTTCCTCTTTGATCAAAGAAAAAACGATTATACTTGAAACCGGGGGAATCGCATAGGATGTTACAAAAAAATTACTCAAAATCTCAAGAGGTTACATTCTTGATAAACGAAGCGATTCGAGGTGTTTAATTTTCTCTCCGCTTCCATTTAGATCACTTATAGAATTTTCGTTTGTATAGAAACGAAGTTATTCGAAGATCTGAGTGCTTTTCGATGTTACCCGATAATAAACAAAATACGAATCTTTCTCGAGAAGAAACTTTATTGATGATAAAATCTTGAAAGATATAAAAAGATACATCTTCAACCCAGTTCAATTTCCTGCATGAAATAGTCTGATTTCTCGTAGAATGCAGGGAAATAATTGAAGGTTAGAACACCCTATATATGCTCGTGTTCGTTTGACCCCGTTCCGAAGTGGCGTTTCTCAAATAAACAGTCTCGAATCGAAAAGAGAACCTGAGTTGGTGATTTAGAACACGACGAAGATGTGGGTGGCAGAGGAAGGGCGAAAACGACCAAGTCCTTTCCGAGGAGCCACAAGCAACGTGTGGTCTCGGTCTCGGCAGTAGCTTACTCGCTCTACAAACGTTCCTTGATGAGATCGACGCGAGTATCTGGAACTCTCTTGCTTCTCGAACGGAATAGAGAGACTCTTTGAAAGTGTGCGGCTCTTGGTCGAGTGCCGTTTGGTCCTCGGTTAACGAACTAAATTTTCGCGAGACGTTGCTCTTAACGGTTTAAAGGAACGTTTGCGGTCGCCGTGCCACCCGCGTCCACCCTAACCTTACCCTTAACTGTTCTCGCAAATTGCTCGTGTCGAGTCCAGTTAATCGTCAACCCTCCAGTATCTAACGTTATCGAACTTTCTTCGTTTCCGCCTGAACAAAACTGTGCTTCGTTAAGAAGGCACCTGTTGCCAATACCAGTTATTGGATACAGTTTGCTCGAAATATTAATTGGAATGATGTCGACAAATTTTTGATGTCGAAGAAGATACATGGAGGAGTATGCAACGAACTAGACATTTAGCACGTAGAGTCCCGTTATATGGCCCTGTAGAAATGTCGAAAAGTTTTATGAGATAAATTAAACCCCATGTAATTCTTGAACGTCAAATCTTCAGCATCAAAACATCAAAAACATCTAAAAATCAAAAAATATCTGACCAAGTCATGTTGAGCTGATTTTTTCGTACCTGTTGCCTTCGTTAAAGATAAAAATTAATATTTTAACGAGTATGACGAGGCTGTTTTTAGCTCGAGTGATCAAGAAAAGTGGAATCTGGGATTGGAGAAGAGTCCGCGAGACGATTCGGCAGTAATGCAACGGCGAACGCGATCAATCAACGAAATGAAAGAAAAACGTTGGCCCGATTGAAAAAGTTTGTCCACGTGGACGGAGAACGGGAGTGAAATTTCTTCCGGTCTCATAGAAACAGAGAAACAAATGTTTAAACTGGGACGAGCGAAGGAATTGCATTTAAATTAGATTACCGTCCGAGTAAATATTGGAATTCTACTTTGAACCGCGACGGATGGAATCGTATTACAAAATACGAATAAATATCACCCTCCTCAGGATATTGTATCGCTCTTTCTCTGTCCCCTTGCTTCCGGTTAATTCCGTTGATACCTTCCACTTGTTACTCGCGTTATTCGAGCTGGTATACAGTAACGAGCATCTGGAATTTAATTAGCTTAATTAAATTCGGATTAAATCAGTCAGAGATCGCTTGACCTGAAAATCCTGATGAAAGAATGCGCTTGAACAGGTGATTTTATCCTGTTATAAAAATATCTGATTGAAATACGTGTGCATAAATTCATTTAAACTTCCGATCGTATCCACTGAATTGTTTCAGTCATTTTTAAATTAACAGGGTATATGAAAACACGGTAAAAAAACTTAGCAACTAATATATTGAAAACGACAGTAATTTGCAAACAAGGTAGAACTTTTGTATGATCTTTTTGTCTCAATTTTGAGACGCTAAATGACGTGAAATTAAAGTGACATAGAATTCATTTCACGTGAATCGTAGCAAATGTATTTCACAGTTGTTCAACCCAGGGGACGGAAGTAGAAAATTGCGCTTCGCATCGAGATCTACCTTTTCCACGAATTTCCATTCGTAAAACACGAAAATTTTTCGTGAAAGGATTATTAAATTTCAAAAACAGAAAATTCAGGGTGCAATCCTCCATCGACGAGTATACTTAAACAGTTCGTGAGCAAAATTCCCAGATACTATGTCTCCAGATCCTCATATCCGTAAATGTTCAAATTCCAACATGTTGAAATTTCCAAAACAATAGAACGAAAAACGAAAAGGTCTATTTGGAAGGTATTTAAATGCGGAGTACGCGTCATAAAGTTTGACGACTCGCGTAATACGGCGTTCACGGATACGCTCGACATTTTGACTGGCGAACTGACGGGTCCCAGTCGAGATGATGCAGTTAAAACACGCTCCGGTAGGGTCGATCGAGTCGTATTGCAACACGATTCGACCCGACGGCTCGGAAGCGTACAGAGGATGAATGGAATTCGACGAAGAGGGTGCGTCGTTCCGAGTAACGCGTTCTCGAAGGGATGAAAAGAGGGCTTGCCGGGAGTTTACGCCGCGTCATTTCGCGCTCGCTTTAACTTCGCTGATTGAATCATGAACTCGAGCTACGCCCCTTTTCCTTACATCCAACCCCTTCCCAAAGGGGTTGCTCTCGGTCTTCGACCACGGGACCAGGTCAAATGAAATAGCATTCGACTGTCTGTTGCTCGTGTGCGGTTGATGGGCCACATAATTCTCGCTCGTTTGCACTCAACTACTCTGGCTAACCACGCGGGAACAAAGATGCTCTTCTTTTCCTTCTGCAATACATTCGGTGCAACTGACAGTGTAATGGAAACTTTTGTTCCTGCATTCTCTTGAATTAAGACGTGTAACCTATTATTCTGCACGAAGTAACGCAACATTCTCACATGAAAATCAGTTTTATTAGGAACAGTGATTTAAAGTTTGGAAAAGAATGAATTCAGGGGATTAGTAATTCTGAGTGTAAACATAATTGTTCGTGTACATTTAAGTAAATAGAAGTTAGAATACGGAAAAGGGTCGAAAGAGGGTGTTCAGCCATTATCCGCTACGATTGCGTCCGACAAAAGAATAATTCGTAAAAATATTTTCTGTGACAATAGAAAGTTGGAAGTACGATGTTTTCAGGCCGTTTTAATGGATTTTCGTCCCTGTGCGACGAAAGGACCGTTGAAGGGACACAGAGGATAACGATATTTCTCGGTTACTTTGGCTGTATTTTTACAAAAAATATCCGTCCTCTTAGTGAGGATCGCTTAAAGACGCAATTTAATCGGAAACTTTACATTCCATTACGCCAAAGAAAAAGTGCCGGAAGTACGTTCCTCTTTGGTCTGCAACCTGCTCCTCTCGCTCCTTTTTTTTTAAACTTCCTGTCCGCTCAGAAACAGAGAGCCAGGAAAGTTTCTCTTTGAAACGACCTCGTCTCGAACTTTCATCGCAATCGACACAGTCTCATCGTCCATAAATATTATCGTTTCTCGAACTGAAACCACTGACTTATGTTATATTGACTCCTGTCCAAACATCAACGGGTCAGCTTTCTCTTCAGATTATATCTCATAAGAAATCTGTGATAATTATAGCGATCTTGTGTTTTATCGCCACGTTGTGTTGAATTTTTGTGTAGTGAATTTGTATCACCACTCGGGTCATGCGTTATATCTTCACATATCCGCGCCATAACCTCGCGAACCAAATTTGCGTACTAGGTTTCCTCGCACAATAACTCTCCGCTATATCCCCGCAATAGAGGGCAATATCCTGCATCATTACCAGTTCTGAACGTAAACACAATCAGGATTTACCTCCAGCAAACATAAATGCAATTTTAATTGAAAGAAATATAAAGAAAGCGTGTTGTTTCAACCTACATAAATTAAAGCTATGAACAACATTCGTGTTTATACCGTGGACTATGAAAGAGTACAGGGTAATTCTCGCGGAAGTCTCTTTCTCTTTATTCAACTGGCACGGTCCAGAAACAAAAGCGTGTACGCTTCAAAAGGAAGACCAAAGATCAACCGAAAGGGAACAAAGAGAGAGAGAGATAGGGAGAGGAAAAAGGACAGGAAGATGAGGAAAAAGAGAAGGTTGGAAACCAGCTTTGCGGGCATTACCCGGTATTTCCCAGGTGGCCGAGTCACCGACTTCGTCTCTCGCGACAACGACGAAGGGAACAACGGAGAAGACGAAGAGGCCAAGGTTTTACTGCGACGAGGAGGTCGCATCGGTTCTCTTCTGGCTGTGCTCACAGCTGGAGGCAACTGGAACCGGTGGTGTGCTCGAATGCGTTTCAACACCGAGCACACACACACAGACAGAGCGACGATGACAACAAAGATGTATCGCGTCTAGCGTTGCCAGATTAAATGCGACCGGATGTTCCCTGGTAGCTTCTGTTCGCTCCGCGTTTAGTTTTCACCTTCTCTGCCGCTCCGCCTTCGGCCTCTTTCAACTTCCTCGTAGACTCGTAAAGATGTACATGTGTGCTAAACAGCGAAATCCCGTTCCGAGATCATTCTTGTCTCGCACGCTAAGCAACGTCGATGATGAATATTCCTTTACTAAAATTTAACTTCAAAAATTTAGAATTTTATGATTGGTCAAATGGACCGATTGAAATAATAACAAATGCACGAAATAACGCATTGGGGTCTGATATGAACAAACACAAATATTGACGCCCTGTAGCACTGACAAACAGTTAAAAATTAAAACACTCGAATACAACTAAATACTATATATATTTGTTAAAGTACTTTACAAGTTTAAAATTTAATTTGTACATCTTTGGAGTCATATCATCACAGACACAAGAAACACACGTATTTGTACAGGACATTCAAATGTATTTTGGAAGTTGAAGACTGTACATAGCACAACTCTTCAATCTATTTTCTTGTACTTCTTCATCTGGTTGCGGGAGAATAGATGATTGATGTAACGGTATAGAATGTAAAGAGCGAGCAGCACAATGGCTATAAGGAAGGCGGCGACGTCGACGAGGTTACGTGCCACCCAGGACATATTTACACGTTCGCTTCTCACGTATGGTAGTCCATTGCCTCGACCGATGTACTCTGTCCACCATACTGCTGTGTCCAGCGGTGTCATGGGCCGATCTCTGAAAGCTTTCGAGAGCTTGCGGGCGTTCTCCATATACCTGCAACAAATTATGGATAATGTTGCAAAATTTTCGAGATTCAATTCTCAAAGTTTCAGTTTCTACATTTTCGACTTGATTTATTAATTTTTTAGTGACTTGCTAAGTTAACTGTGGGCTTGAAGATTAATGAAGTAGTCTTTTGAAAGTTTAATCTATCTGGTAAGTGGTAATTTGTGATGCTTAATACCGTCTCAACTCCCTTTTCTTGGTCGGTTACCATTAACGTTCCTCCTTTTGTCTTGATCGGAACTTTTAACAACCGTGTCCACGATACCCTATGAATAATTCATGCGATACATCGATCGATCCATCGTGTTCGATACACTGTGAGCGTAGAAAGATGCCGCCGCGGGGTATTTTATAAATATCAGCGAGAGCTTTTAACGGTACCGCTTATCGTTCAGCCGGAAACAACCCCATCCCCGTCGAGCGAACATCCAAGAGCTCGTTCCATCGACGAAAACAACGTTGTCGAAACGCGTGTCCGTTCGAACGAATCGGCAATACGAGTTCGCTTCATCCCTGTAGTGCGCGACACATGGAGAAAAACGGATAGACAGGTGTAGGAAAACTGACGAACGAAAAAATAGAAGAAAGAGAAATACCGATGGAGTAAACGAGAGTTGAAGAGGAACAGACGAAGAGGGTGGCACCACGCTCGCAAACCAGCCAGAACGACCCGGAGCACACAATTTACCAATCGGTACTCTCCATTATTCGTGTTTACAGCTGCAGGCCGCGAATCAACTTGGTCCACCCCCCTGTGTTATTTGCCTCGGTCAAATTCAGTCGCAGCCCTGCGGTGGTTTTGAATTAACCATCAATTTTAAGCGTGTTCGACGTCCCTTCCGTCAACGTGCACCCTTCTCGTCCTCACCGCACGCCCGATGTTTCAAAGGGTGTTGGACAGATGCTAGACTAAGGGAATTAATTTGTTGCTATGTGCACCGCAAGGTGAGAGGAAATTGGGGTAGAAGGATGCTAAGTGGAAATCGTTCGATCCACACTGTTCGAAATTACTTCATTTAAAATCGATATTACTAAGAGAATACACCTTCTATCTTTTAGAATATGGGGAAAAGCATCAAACTTATACATTTATAATTTTCCAAATTCTCTTCAACATAAATACACACATTTATGATGTATTTACCAAGAAAGTTGTATCTGCCAAGGATGCAACATTCCAAGCATATCGGGGAAATAAGAGGTAGTCTCCGAAAAGCTATGTAAAACGTTATCGGAAAAGGGGTGAAATTATTTTAGCCGTAGCAGTCTGAAGGCAGATGTCGCGAAAGTTACGCGAGAAACCATTTCTATCCCCATTTCTGAGGCCGACTCGTATCTCCAGGGGATCATAATTCCCGCGATATCTTGGATCGTTGTCGCTCGAGCCGAGCACCCAGACACGTTACCAACTTACTTTCCGACTTGTAACGTTATCGCGAGCTTCTCAGAGCCTCGCCAGTTCTACGCGTTGCGACTTCCCAGTCCAAAACTCGTGCAACTCGTCCAAGAACTACCCTACGCCAACTAATATTCACATTCTTTTATCATTTTGAGATACGATTGAAAATTTCGTGCTACTCCAAACGCGTTACTTTGCAGCCCTCGAAATGGGAGTGCAATTTTACATTTTATAAACGTGAAAAATACGGAGGAAATACTTCTACATTTATTGAGTTTTCTGTCTACTATCTGGATTTTAAAGTGAAGAGAAAATGTCGGGGTGGGTTTGCAAATTTCCTCTTTACATATTCCATTGCTTTCGTACTTTTTAGTATCCCTGCATTTTGTAATAGTTAATTAAAGATTTATTTTTTGATGAAATAAGCTGACATATAACCCGAGCGAAAAGGGGAAGAGTCGGTAAGGACTGAAATGCGAGACGACGTTTTCTGTTGTTCGCGTGACACGGCGCAATAGTTAGCGGCAACGTATCATGCGCAAGTGATATAAAATTAACCTACGATTTGGAAACAGTGTTGTTAGACTCGGAGGCTCGAAGTTGTCGTGCCGTACGCTACTCGTTGTTACGCCTGGTAATCACTACTTCTCCATTGATTTACGAGCGTGATTCTTGCGTTGCTCGCCAGTCAGAAAGTAAGAAAGTCGTCGCAGATAAACGCAATACGGTAGTTAAGACGATAGAACGATACCTTATCGTCGAATTGTACCACGAGATCCACTTATACTAATATTGTACACCTTTGAGGATGTAAAGCGGATTCAACTTCGCGATAGGCATCGATTCATCAGAAATGTTACGATCGTCACCTTGATATCACATAAGAAAAAGTTGACAAAGTTCATTTTATTAAAAATTAATTTAAAACATAAATTATTTAAATCTTCGTTGAGCTTTCAACTCAAACTCTTGAACAAATTGTGTAGTCAGAGAACCGCTTAAACCCATCACTACTGATCTAATACTTTCAAAATCATCACATAATTCGTAGAATGATTTTCCGACACAAAGCGAAGGATGCAACGGAAGAAAGGAACCCTGGTGACCCGTATCACTGACATGCAAGCTTGTTCAATTTCCTGTTTCCTAGGTTCTGGATCCCGCAAGGCGACGCAAAGTGGCCATTCAATTCCCAAAGATCTGCGCGCATGATTGCGTTTGTAAGCTAACTTCGACTTACAGCCATTCGACTCGAGATCAAACGGCATACACCGTTATCGATGTAAGTAGTGTACGTTAACCGTATCCTCGTTTACCCTTTTTGCTCCACTTTCTATGACATTACAATATTCAAACTGCGGAGTATAAGTTCGATCGTAAACGACTCGAGGCTTTTAGCTAGGCCATAAATGTCCCTATGAAACTTATCGAAATCGTACAAATATCATTGTAAATACTGCAAAGTTCCTCCTTGCTATTATCCGAAAGAAGCCTGTATTGCTCCCAAGTGTCCGATGTTCTCCCATCCTCAACACGTTTTATGTTCGCTACACGATAAAACGTGAAATCAAGAAAAAGTCTGTTTCCATTTAAAATCGCCCTTGAGTCAATGTACATTTTTGCGCAATTAGCTTCACCTTACTTTGTATTCACGTAGACCGTTCGTTAATTTTTCCCTCGGCGAAAGAACTATCACGAAGTTGTATTTAATCACGTGCCCGAGCGCTATCGGTCTTTCCTTTGGTTTCTTTCATTTGGAGAATGGACTGAATTTATGGTCCAACCGATTCGACAAGGTTTCGTTTACGATACCTTCACAATCGAATTCGAAAGCACACCAGTAAATATGAGAGCAAGTAAATTGTTACTAGAGTCTAACTATAATATTTCAACAAAAGTAAAATAATTGAATAATTATTGAAAAAACTTGACTATGTAAAAGACAGCCGAATATAAATTTGAACATTTCGTTTCCCAGTGTCTGGGAGTTATTTGCACCCCGTTCAATTTTAAGGAAATTCCATAATAAAAAGTGAGCACGCGTTGCATTCTTAAACGTGTCATTCCGCGGAACGAAGACAAACGCAAAGGCGAACGCGCGGAAAAGAGGAAAAAGGGGTATGTGTGTATGTGTCGAGGCGAGCAAGCTGCCACGTAGTAAGGCGGTAGTAAGGAAGGACAGAGGGAGGATGGTAGTCAAAGTTTCGACAGTTTGTAAGGAGGTACGAAGCACGCCCCTGTTCCTCTGCTTCTTCTTCGGTTACGGCTGAGGGATAACATAGTACAGCCCCGACGTCAAGTTAGCCCGATACCCGGACTCACCCCTTTACTCTTGCCGGTCTCTTCTCTTCTGTTTCCTTCCTCCCCCGTTGTCTAGAATACTTGACTGGCTTTACGATGCACACGAAATAGGACACTACTGTTTTCCAACTGCTCGTTTATTCATTTCGGTTTAGGTGTATATTTCCTTTTCTGGACCGAGTTTTTCCACCTCTATCGTGATTGACGCTCCTTCGCGTGCAACCGTAATGAGGATCGAAAGCAACAAATGTGTAAAGAAAAAGTTTATTTATTTTTAAGGGTGTGTTTTACATAAATTCTAATTTTGTGCTACTATAAAAATAAAATCCGTAAATTCAATTCTTACATTTCTACATTTCAATATTGATCTAAAAATGTAGGATCTAAAGAAATGTAAGTCTGTTTATTTTTAAGGGTGCATTTCACATAGACTACACTTTGTCGCTACTATAAAAATAAAACCTGTGCATTTAATTCCTATATTCCTACATTCCAATATTGACCCGAAAATGTAGTATGTATAGAAATGTAAGTCTGTTTATTTTTAAGGGTGTTTCACATAAACTATATTTTTGTGCTATTATAAAAATAAAATCCATACATTCAACTCTTACATTTCTACATTTCAATATTGATCTAAAAATGTAGTATGTAAAGAAATGTAAGTCTGTTTATTTTTAAGAGTGCATTTCACATAGACTACATTTGTCACTACCATAAAAAAACGTGTGCATTCAATTCTCCCTACATTCCAATATCGATCTGAAAATGTAGAAAGGGCGGTAATAATTGACGTCGCCTGAATACTCCCCATTCTATGCCAGAGGTATTTTCCGCGCACGTAATTACCTACGTAAATAAATAAATGACGAATCGAGGAAAGGCTCTCATTAGCAAAAATCGTAGCATTTCGTTTTGTCTTCCAGCTCTCCCCTTCACCCTCCACTCTCCCCTATTCAGTCTATCGTTCCACGAGTCAACTTCCGTCCGCTTTATTACCCTGTTGTTCTTATTCGTCCGCGAAGGCAACCCTTTCGCTCGACGAGTTCCAGTTTCTTCTTCGTGGCCGTCCAACCACGAACGCTATCCATCGTTCCGGTGGCTCGTCCTCTCACCGGGATTTATTCTAGACGAACGAGACGAGATATAACCGAGGTATTCTTATTCCCGGCAAGAAGAGAATCCTCTTTTGCGAGGCGGCGGATTCGCCGAGTGCTTCGGCGCACCTGCTCGCTCGTAAGGGACGCGCGTAATGGTCGAGCGAGAACCGGAGAACGGAAACGAGACG